AAAATGAGCATAATGAGAGGTCTCTTGCATTCAGGTTTCTAAACTTGGTTTCGGTTGTGGGGGACTTTCTGGCATAATAAATGCTCCACTCTCGCATGAAGCTGGATGTGCGATTCTAAAAGAAGCATTCAATAAGGGTATCACCTTCTTTGACACCGTTGATGTCTATGGACAGGAGGGCGACAATGAGATCATGATTGGCAAGGTAATTCTGTCACTTGAAAATTAGAAAATGCCATTGAATACCCTATACTTATTTTCAGAAAATTCATCATCTTTTAAGAGAAATAATTTCTTTGTTTACTATGATTTATTAGGCATTAAAAGAGTTGCCTCGCGAACAAGTTCAACTAGCAAGTAAATTTGGCATTTATAAGATGGATTTCACTCAATTAGAGATCAAAGGAACTCCTGAGTATCTGCGGCAATGCATCGACGCCAGTCTTAAGCGGCTGAATGTGGATTACATTGATCTGTATTATCCGCACCAGACAGACATATCTGTGCCAATAGAGGAAACAGTTAGTATTAGATATGACAGTTCAATTTTCATAAGAAATTAGAGGATTGAACTGTTTTATCTCATTATTTCATCTACGTATTTGTTACAACTGTCGGGAAAATAAAATCACAAATACAAGAACCATCTCATAATGTTAAATCTCCCCACGTAGTCATACATAGAACCATCTAGGCCACAACTTTTTCACTTGAATTTGCGGTCAATACTATGGTCAAATCACCAAATTGAATATGTGTGGCCTTATGAACCCACGTGACATTGTATCTTTGACGGGCCATGTCAACTTACGTGGAGGTAGAAATATCCACCACTTTTGCGGTAGAAATATCCAACACTTCTGCCTCCTTTCATGGAAAATTTCATACTTGGATAGTCATCTTTTATTTCTCTCAATTGAATTACTAAACTTCAATTTAATTTTAAATTCCACTCATTTTTCACGTTCCTTCCCCCAATCCTCCACCAAACTGAAAAGAATTTTTAGTATCGCCATATCGTAACTAATATATTACTTAATTGCCACAAGACATAATTGTAGAATATAGTTGTAAATTGATACGTCACACAACAATTACATGAAAGATCAAGGACAACAAATTAAGCAATTTTCATCAATTTGAGAAAGAACATATGTTAAATTTTAAGCTTAGTTACTCAATTTTAAACTAAATTGAAGCTTAGTGACTCTATCGAAACAAATCAAAGTTTAGTGACGCGATAAAATTTTTGCTAAAAGTTCAGTGACTGAAGATGAAACAATCCCATGCTATCATGCACTATATAACCAACCTCGACATGCCTGCCTACTCAAGACAAATACTAAGAAATCTCTTGTATCAATACTCTGAGTCTCCCTTTCCTTAGTTACCAATTTTTGTATGCTCGGAAATTTTCTCGTACCCTTCGAACGCACACCATGGCTGCCGTATCAAGCGTTATGTTACTAAGCCCACCCACGGGACTTACAAACAGAACTGCCTTGAAACAGTTTGTTGTTCCCACCTACGTGCCAAGTCTCAAGAGGAAAGTCGATTTTCAAGTCAACAGCATGGCCGAGGTAACTAATTCTTGTTTCGCGCATAAATTTTAAGCACACGTTTAGTATACAATTATTGGCGAAACTATTTTCTTGACTTCGAATTTAACAGAAAAAGCCGTCAGAATCAACAACTCCACCAAAGTTTGTCCCGTCAGAGCCAAAGGTTAGAGATTAACTTACTACTAGTCTCAAATCATAATTGATCAGGATTTTGATTCACTTTTTAACATTGACAGATTAGTAAAAACTTTGGCGACATACTAGCCTTCGGTGGGCCGGGACCGGAGAGGATCAACGGTCGGCTCGCGATGATTGGGTTCGTGACAGCCATTGGTGTCGAGCTTGCTAATGGTCAGGACGTGTTTGCACAGATACAAAATGGTGGAATTCAATGGTTCATAGTGACTTCTGCTTTGCTAAGTGCTGCTTCTTTGATTCCTCTGTTCAAAGGGGTTAGTGCGGAATCGGAATCGAATGGGGTGTTCTCGTCTGATGCTGAGTTGTGGAATGGAAGATTTGCTATGTTGGGTTTGGTTGCACTGGCTGTTACTGAGTATGTCAAAGGTGGTGCTCTTGTTTAAAGTACTGCAGTTTTTGTAAAATACTTGATGTTGGAATAGAAGTATAATTTCTTGTAATTAAGTTATAAGATAATAATTAATAATACAACACCCTCCTGTATTGACCAGTTATACGTTTGTAGATCAAATG